ATAAACTTGGCATTGGCATTGTTTTTCTTCTCTTTTTGAAACAGATAAAATAAATAATGCAAGAGCAGTACCATTCATCACAGTCGTGTTTTTTATTGCAATTTTAACCTTTGAAATTTACCGAGTGCTGTGACCATTTTTCTTTTGAACAAAACAGCGTACTCATTTACACTTTCACCTGTCATTTTATTTTGTCAACTTTTTCATACTAAAACTACCAAGTGGCCTCGTGCAAGTTTAATAATTATCACAATAAAATGTAATAAAATAAATTAGTTTAGAAATATTTTATTCGGGAAATAGTCTTCATCGGCATCTACTACCTTCTCCCAACGTGTTAGTAGTCCAGTTATGTCTTTGTTACGAAAGGTCAGGTCCGATGACTTAGAAAATAAATTGAAATAATTTTCCAGCTAGTGACGATTATCGAACTCCCGACTGCATGTGGGATTGTAGTCCATTGCTAAGAAAGGTGAAAGTCTGGAGAGTACTTAGGGTGCGGTAGGACTTTACAACCGAGTTTCATTATCTCTTCCTTTCACGTTTTGGCTGTATAGAGTAATGTCGTTTTGGCGATACAACTATACTTTTTCTGTTCACGAGAGCAGGTTGTTTCTGGACAAGCAAGAAGTACTCGTTGTATTGGCTTGGGTAAATTTCTGTAGTGATGTTCTGACCACAAAGCACAAGTTAGTTAGTGCACGAGGCATGGCTTATTCCTCTAAGCACAAAGCATATCATTTTGTTTGTGAATATTTGGTGTTCGCGACAATGGGACAGAGACATTTTTGTGGCAGCCATTTCTTTTTACACAGGGGCATTAGATGTTTACGTCACGTAATACGAAGAGAATAATGCGTGTCTTGAACAATCGGTCATTGTAAAAGCCAATGGTGAGACCTTCTCTGTTACTGGACATGATCCGTGTTATGCAGCATGTGACAATCCGGCCATAAAACATCTCTGCTTTCTGCCGTGGAAGCTATAACATAACAGATCTTATCGAGGGTTAAATGGGGTTTTGCGGCGAAGGGCGTGATGTAGACACGGCGAACTAGTCGACCCCCTAGAGCGGGAAAAGAGGACTTAGAAAAAAGAGGTGGTTCTTTTTTGGATTTGGTTTTTTTCATTGCTCACGTGGTGTTGAAAAACGAAGAAGAAACAAGAAAAAAGAAGACATCTCTGCTTCCTGGCAAAAAAAGAGATCAAGAGATCATCAACCCAGCTAACATTCATCAAATACACTAGTTTTAGTGGTCCGCTTGACCAATTAATTTATTTCAATTAATTAAGGGTTTTAGTTGAGATAAAAAAAGTCTGTGTCACGAGCGAGGAGGGAAAATTCAAAAGGTGGGGTTCAGATGGGGAATTTGTATCCGAGTGAGGTCACGATAACTCAAGTGGTAGAGCAGGGGCGTATCTAGCCGTAGGTCGTGGGTTCGAATCCCGCTCGTGACACCGACTTTTTTTTATCTCAACTAAAAACCTTAACTAATTGAAATTCTTCAAATAATTATTTTGTACAAACTTTTGTTTTTCTTATATTTTTTGTATTGTAACCTGTTTTTTTTTATTTACCAAATTCCATTACTTGAGTAAAGATCTATTATAAAGCAGTGAAAGGCAAATGTTTGTTTAGACGCTGAAGCTTGTTACCGATGGTCAATTAATGAAAAGTCAATTTACTCAGCTTCCATGCCTTCTCAAGTCGAATGGTTTCATCGCTTACGTTGAAACACTGGGAAATTTCTGCCATGCTTTACTCGAATAGGGGAATCGCTTCCGGTCGTTATTCAAGACGGTTTATACCCACTCCCTTCGCCCCAGAAGCAAACGTTTTGAACCACTTTTGAGCAGTGGGACCGCTTATTGTTGCATCACCCCAGGGCAAATTTTACGATCTGCCTCGGCTGGCCTACTGGGAGCTTAAATTCACACAAAGCACCCACGAATTATAGTTTTTGAAACCATGAAAAATAAATTTGTTAAAAATAATTTTCAGTGAACCGGTCGAGACACTTTTTCTTTACCAACTAACGCATTATCTTCTTAGTATTAAGTGATGTAAACCTCTTATCCTCCTACGTTTGTGGAGTTGATTAACTGTACTAAAATAATAACAAATAAATGAAAAACCGTAATTTTTAGTGTGTGTGTGTGTGGTGTTTAGTGACCGTTAGTCAATGATTATTCGGAGATAGTGAGATGTCTGGTGTGACGTAGGTGTTAGTAAAACATTTTCTTTATCGTGCAACGTTTCGATCTTTATTGAGATCATCTTCAGAGCCTGGGATTTATAAACATTGTGTAAATTCTACAATCCTACATGTATTTTGAAATATGTTGACATTTTGCATTTGCCTTTAGAAAACAGCATGATGTGAGTAAGGAAGGATCAATCAAAACTGATCAGACTCAGAAGTGTCGATACAGCCTTGACAGAATACAGTTTCAATAGTACAGCCCATTTGTACAAAAGGCAACGGCTATTCAGGCTGATAGGCTGATAACAATATACTTTTGTGCGAGCGTGCTAGTCTGCCTTATTTACGTTCAGTATGGGAATTTTTCTCTAAAAAAAAATATATATATATATATAAATATATATTTGTACATAAAGTACAAAATGTGAACGCACAACCGAAGAATCCCAAATAATTACGATTTTTATTGTAGTTGTGGGTCGTTAAATTTGTCATATTGTGCCGACAAGGGGGTGTGAGGATTTTTCCGAACTCGTTAGGGACACGATTCCAGCAGTTCTGTAGTCCCGATGGTAAACTTTCCCCTCCGACCGTTGCTATTAAAAATTAAAAGTTGAAGTCCCGCCGCCCAGGTCGTCGCAAGGTGAAACTTGTTTGTGACGGTAATAATATTTCAAGTTAAAATGAGTTGTTGGGAAATTAGCACTTCTCCCGTCAGTCGTCAGATGTGATTTTTCACGAATGAAACTTTCCCTGACGTTAATTATTACCCGAGAGTATCTCATGTCCAATTACATCGCTCCGGCTGATTCCTTTACGCTTTCCCGAATTTTAATATTGTCATGGAGACAGCCCGGCTGCTCCCGGCCGGAGAAATTAATTAACATCCCTAAACCTCAATTTTGAGCCAGGCCTAGTCTTGTCTTTGTCGAAGATTACTACAAATTTTGAAAGTTAGCAAAATTAATTCATCATAATTTATACAATCAATTTGACGGTTGGTTTAATTTGTAACAAGATTATATCGAACACGGGACTTATACCGCAAATCCATAGCGAATCTAGGACAATCTACTCCTTTTAAGCTGCGTTCCTTTCTGAAAATCACTTACGCAACTGTTTCGCGAAACTTCTCGCGTTGTGAATACCCAGGCCCTACTCCGAAACTTTGTGCGCGAGGATGTTTCGAGGAGAGCAGACCGGCTGTGCTTATCTTTGTGTTAACCCTGTTAACTCCTGTTAGATCGAGAAAAATGATGACGTAGACTTGGAAGAATCTGCTAGTTAACATTGCTCGCTGACAGGCCAGAGCCAATGTTAGATGTTTGGTCGAAAATGTAGTCACTTTGCTATCCGTTAGGGCACAGGTAACCAACATGGCAGCCATGAATTTAACAGCTGTTTTTTGTTTACACGTATTTTTATTCTTAAGCACACATTAATTAAATCAGACCAATCATTTCTTTTGGTAATATCTGACCTGTCCTTATACTCTCATTCATAATAGATACATCCCATATCCTATAAAGTTGTAGGCTGTTAGACGTTAGGTTACAAGTTAGGTATGTCGGCACGAATTGAAGAGTGCTATTTGTTAGTACTTTTCGAGTGCATAGATAGCATTTTGAATGAACGAGTTAATTTTCCTTTTTTTTATTAACTTCTGGCATCTTACAATTTAACACAAAACAAACCATAACAAACAACAACAAGCCTTCAAGAACTGTTATAGCTTTATTTTTGGTTCTACCAATTGCCACGCGCAGCATTGCGGAAAAATTAACGTTTAACATGCTAAGAAAAGAAGGGGGGGGTTCACGATCTTACTGGACATTTCTCTATTGGAGTTAACACGAGTTAACATCTTACAAACATTGTGAATACCCCTACTGCGGCATTTAGTAATAAGCTGACAAAGCGCGACAAATTAGAAATATTTAACGTGGGTATATCAATTCACTGGTTGTAAGTGGTATCAAAAACTATTACCAGTTACTATTTACTATCAATTATTATCGTTTACAACCAGTAAATGGAAATGTGGAAGCATGTTAGGGCCTATGTTAGAAGTCCATTAGAGTGGTTCCTGCCAACAAAGTATCGATGTCAGATGACTCGGTCTGTACGATGAAATTTCGAATCTCGTTCTTGAAACCAAAAACACTTCAAAAGTCGAAATTAATCCTTGCCCTGTAGATCTTTCTTCGCCGATTAACATTCTGTCGATATACAAAGTTTGTAATTTGTTCATCATTACTCTCGAAAAGTAAATCCTCTAACATTGTCAAATAATGTAATCATCGGAATTTTGCACTAATATTTCGATAATACCGGCAATTTGTTGGTTGAATTAACGGTTCAAATATTTGTATTGTTAGTGACTATTTAAGAAACGGAATTCGTTGAATTTTAAACAATTTTTCTTGTACTTTCTACTTTATAACTTGTGCTTGGTATTTTTTTATATGAAACAAAATTGGAAATATTACAAGCTACTACATGCACTTATAGTATTAGTTCGTATTTCATTACGAAACATCTCGCGTTGGGTAGTTCTGGGCTCGAATCCCGGCATAACGCTTGGACATTTATTTAAGAATAATCTGGAAAAAGATATTTTAAAATGGATCTGACCCAGAGGGTGTAAGAACTCCTGTATGACAGTTAAAATAAACCCGACGACCAACGAAGAGCGAGAAATCGAGGACCAGGTCGACATGATTGTTATGCAATAAAACCTTGACATCACGTGTTAATGAATGTTTTTTGTACAAAATATGTCTAAATTAAACTCACCTAATTTAAGTTCGACGTCTCCACGGTACCAGACGATTTTGGCCGCCGGCTTTGCGTTCTTCACGAGGCATTCCAGGGTAAACGTCTCGTTCTCTTTTATTTCGATTTTCGTGTTGTGCGGGTGGCCAATAATTTCGACGGAACTCGGAGGTGCTGCACAGAAAGAAACAAATACAAGTCAATTAAAAGAATTTTTTTACACATTTTAAATAATTTTTTAATTAAAAATCATATTAAATTTATTACACTATTCATAATTGTAAAATTAGTTACAATTACAGCTATAAATTTTTGGTAACATTTTCTTTCAGGTTTTCCTAATTTCGATGAAAGAACCCAACAAATACCATGTCAAAATCCGCACTTTTTGACTTTTAAATTTATAATACGACTGGACATCGAATAAAAATGTTTATTTATGATTCGAGATTTTTATTACAGACAAGCTATTTATTACACTATTTATAGCTATATACTATATATTGCTATTTATTAGTGCTGAGTAATTCGCTGGAGAATGAACAAATTATAACCCGGTCCCTAACTCTTACTCAAAACTTACAAGCAGAGGTATTGTCCTTTTTAACCTCTTCAATAAAATATTTTAGTTGGACTTGTCTGGAAATCCTCCAAGTTGTCGTGTAATCCGTATATCTATTAAATCTCAGGATTCCTTGCCAGTTACAAACCGTCCCTTCTTAGAACAATTATTGAATAAATAATTTTCAACCTGTCTCAATCTATATAATTGCTATTTTATAAAAAATATCATTATCCTTTTAAATTTTTTCTATTTCACACTTGTATCATGATGGGAAAATTTTTGTGGATTCTTTTCCACCAACAGTGATTTTTCTTTTTCATAAAAACCAGTGTTTATTAAGTATTTCAAAACATTATTTAAATTCACTGGTTTTCGAGGTCCGCTTGACCAATTAATATCTTTCGTTCAAAAGGAGGGAAAATTCAAAAAGTAGGTTGAGGAGGGAAGTTAGTCCGAGTGGATCGAGGTCACGATAGCTCAAATGGAGGAGCAGTGGATATCTAGCCGAAGGTCGTGGGTTCGAATCACGCTCGTGACCCTTACTTTTTTATCTCAACTAAAAACCTTAATTAAATGAACTCCATTTAAAATGATTACCGTCTAGCCCAGCCATGCTGTCCAAGTTAAAACACTCCAAAACAGAGTATTTGATATCACCGGTTTCATCGTTTTGACTCTACGTATTGTTTTTGTAAAGTTTTAACGCGCGCAGCTTTGTGTTTGTTTAATATAGTAGCAAATTTTAAAGGTGACGGGTCTCCTGCTATTTTGGGCTGAGCTGCGCACACGTAACCATGCTGTTATTAGTCTTCTACCAATATATGTCAAGCATTGTATTTTTTGCATGTTTCACGTACTATATGGCCATCGCTTAGTTTCGGTGAAAGTTTTCTAGGCATTTGATCGCAATTTCACTATCTGCTACTACCATAATGTAGTTATTGTTGTTTCGTAGATATTCTGCATATGATAATGCGTTGGATATTGCATACATTTAGGCCGGAAAGATGCTTACTTCCTTAGGCAGTTTAATGCTACACGAGTAATCCATTTTGTGACTATTCGGGCGCGTCTCCGTCACCGCAGCGCCCGATTTGTGCCGTACACTGTACCCCTGTATCTACAACCCCTATCTTCTGGAAATCCACCTATCATAACACACTTCCCTCCTTTTCCCTCAAAAACCCATCCCTTCCAGCCTTTTTGGGCTATTCTCCGCCAGCTCTCAGAGCACACCTTGTATCGCCCTATCTATTCAAAGTGTTGCGCCATAGTAATTAACCACCGTGTAAGATCGCCCGGCTATTGCTTTGCTATGCACATTTATCGCCATGCGAATGTCCGCGTATTGACATTAGAATCGCCTCATCCTTAACTCCGTGTGCATCCCATCTCCCGACCTCATGGTACCAAACCTATCATCGCCATTTTCCCTTAATATCTCATCTCCCTTTATCCACCTACCATCATCATAATCCCACGAACGAATCCTACATCATTATCCCGAAGACTCCATCATCTCACTAGCATCGCAGCCTGGATTGCATCGCCACTTGGATTTCACCATCCATCATCATCATCATCGACGCTCTGGATCAATCTGGTGTACTGGCCTAGTCATCGCCGCACAACGCACGATATCGCATTCGGAGATATTCACCGCTTTCCGGCCTTCATAGCCTTCAGAGGCGTCCATCGCCTTCAGGTCTCCAGTATGATCATCGGCCATCTTGTAAGCCATAGAAATTTCATTAAACAGTGAGCCGTCCATTACTCCTTTCGTTCATTATTTATTCCTTCATTTAATTCTTCCTAAACTAACATCTCCTATTCAATCAGGACCCGTTGGTGCCGAAATAATCTTTTTATTAATTTTAACTCCTATCTCCGGTGGTGTTCGTTGGCGCCATTTTGTATTTGGCTGCTGGCGAACAGTGACCATAAAACGCACTTCTTACTCCTTTTGTTTTCGACCCGTATGTGAATATTAAATGGTATGATGGAAACATATCTTCCGATTTTTCCCGGAATAAGGGCATTGGCGGTATGGGGGGGGGTTACATTCATGGGGATGTACATGTTAACTGTTTTAATTTCTTGGGATGTGTCGTGGAAATCTACTTCATAATATGGTAGTTTATGTGACTTTTTGGTAAATGGTCTGATTTGAATTATATCCTGGAAACTGGAAGTTTTAGGGGGGGTATTTTTATGAGCCCAGTTACATGCAGAAAAAAACCGGTGCTAAGAGTACGTCAATGCCAGCTGCCGAAAAAACCACTTTGCTTTTGAAGATGGTCGACTAGTCACCACCAGAGAATACACTGACTACTATTCGAGAGGATTTCCCTTATTTTATGTTTTAATTAGAATAAGTTGTTTTAGTTTATATCGTGAAGTGATTTGTGTGGACGAGTGAAAGACTGGGAAAAGGTTTTGTTAATCTTATTTATAATTCGATTGTAAGACATAGATTTTTCACTTGCTCTCTTCCTCTTTACCACTTGTCATCCGGCGATTAACGCCGAACTGAAGAAGTTGTTTTTGGTCACGGTGAGACACCGACGCCATTATCGCTGATGTTGCTATTATTATTATTATTATTTTTTAATAATTTTTGCTGTTTATTCTACAATTCTATCACTTGTTCTGTAGGCTGTTGAATAATATACTGCAGCATGGAATTTTCTTTATTAACAGAGTGTTTTCGACATCATGACACAAGTCTTCATTAGGGTTAGTTAAACTTCCCAACAATGCGTACACACTCAATATCGATTAGAAACACCTTCCAATTGTTTTCCTCCTCTGGGTTTTTCTTGGTCGATTTACAGGAGAAACTAAAAATAATATAGAACAAATTTCACCACCTGCACTCCTGCTGTGGAATTCCTAAGACGCGCTTCAATAAAACTGTCCGCCCTAAACAACGAACGCCTTTCTCTCTACCAACGGAAATTCTTCTCAGTTTTACCTCAAAAGTATTGTTTATAAACAGTTTTTCTTAATATCATCGTCTAAATTTAATACCTACAATGTAAATAAATTTCGTATGTGTCAAACGGAAAGATTATCGTATAAAATAAGCAAGAATATTTTATATCTTGATTGTTTCTTAAAAAGTAAGAGGAACGAAGATTATGCGATCGATATTTAATTGGGAAACACGTGGAACCGAACTTAATTAACCTATAAAATTAGTTGCGAACATTGTTATTAGTTTTTACTTAAGGGAAACCTAGGTACCAAAAAAGAATGGGAACGAGAGGGAAACACCTTTTTTAAGAATGGCACCAACCTTTGGTACAAGATGGATCTAGAACACAAGAAGGTACACTCCAGTGGACCTGGAACCAAATACTCAGAACCCATGGGGAAATACACCAGTATCTTCCAAGCTGAGATTCATGCAATCGAAAGATGTACCCAACTCAACCTAAGTAAAGGGTACAAAAACAAGAATATAGCTATCATGTCCGATAGCCAAGCAGTCATCAAAGCACTAAGCTCAAATATTGGTTCAGGGATGGTGCTGAACTGCAAAACCAAACTAAACATATTATAGGCATGCAGAACAAAGTCAGCCTTTGCTGGGTCCCAGGACACAGGGAGTATAAGGCAAAGAGAAAGCGAACACCCTTGCAAGGCAAGAAGCTGCTACACCGCTGACAGGACCTGAACCCTTCTGTGGCTTAGGAACCCACACTATTAACGAGTATCTCAGACAGAAGGACAAAAAGAATATGAGGGAACTATGGCGTTTACTCATTGGACAAAGACAATCCAATAATCTTCTAATCAATTTCGGAAGAGAAGAAATTACAGAATGTGTCAAAGGAAGCAGGAAGCAAACTGCGGACTAAAACTCAGGAAAACTGCGAAACCTAATAGGATTCCTAACAGATACTGCAAGTTAAAAGGACACTTAAAGAAGATTGGAATAATCCAAAATGGCAGGTGCAGATTCTGCAAAGAGGCACAAGAGACACCAACACATCTACTAGCAAAGAGCGGAGCTACACTAGCCCGCAGGAGGAAATGTTTTGGGATGTATAATATGACCATAGAAGAGCTTCAGCCATTGAAACCGGGCCTATTAATCAAATTTCTTGATGAAATAGGACTCACCGATGTGCTTTAGGCAGAGCACGGGGGAAATAGCACTTAAAGGGCGCATATACTATACCCCGAAACTATATCTACATCTACATCTACTTAATGGAAACAATTTTTTAAAAATATTCCATTTTGGCAACATCTATGCCTGCAATTAACATGTTAAGACACGTTGTAGTACTAAAATATTTAAAAAGGTCTGATGTCTGTTAAGGATCTGCGGGGTTTTAAGATTTAGATAGGAATCACGACGTTTTCCACTCCTTTCCCTTAACGAATTATCCCGTTTTACCTCTGGGAGCATTACGTGAGAGATATACTTCTTGATTAATTACAGCCTCTTAATTACCGGCGGGGGAGGGAAGAAGTATGAAGTGCTTACGCTCGTTGCTATCTCGAACAAAATTCGTGAGATAAAACAAGAAAACCGACCCGCCCCTTCCGTCAGTAACATGCCAGGGCTGATGGCTGGCGACTGTTGTGACGAAAAAAT